TCCGTGTTGCCTTAGTCTTTTTTTAACGGAATCAAGAACGGAAGAGCTTGTGGCACAGTTTAAGGACGACCTGTATTTTGTATGTGTAAAATGAAAATATTTCAAGTCAGTGTGTGTCACTAGTGATGTGGTTTTCAGCGGAGGGAAATGGTACTGACTGATGTCACCAAAGGATAAAGCCCTTGAAGGTGTGTCTTCCTGCGCAGTCAGAATAGTAAGTGGACTCCAAACTGCACAAGCTTCTGCGAAAGAGAGTTTACAAGCACCTGCTCTTTGATAACTAACCTCCACCCACGACATAATTCAACCCCTAATTGCAAAAGACAACTTTGAAAAGTAAATGAGAAGGCTAACAGTGGTTTCTGGCTGCTATTACCTAAATGACATTTTGGTGTGTAGGATTTAAAACCATTGTTTCACAACCGAGCCGGATTAATTGTTAGCTTAAACTGTTGCTGTTCTTGAGAGGAAGAAAGGAATACTCCCAATAGAATCGAATAATCAAGTGAAAAGAAAAGGAGTGAAAATGTAACCAGTTAATTATTATGTAGTAAAATAAATAAAATGTTCTTAATTTTTCATGTAAATAAAACTGAGGAAAATACCAACTTGGAGTTCAAAAGCCAAAAAAGAATTTTAGAGAGGATATTCTAATATACTCCCTACCATTGGATTCCTGGCAACTTCACCAAAGTAATAAGATTTAAGTTGTCTTTGAGATGTCTTTGACATCTTATGAGGGTAACTAGAGTTCTTAACTCTTCTGGTTCACCAAGTCAAATCAATATAATGTCATCACTGTCATGGACTAGCATCATGTGCTATAGGATGGTGAGACAATTAAGGTCTCTGTAAATTAGTTTATGACAGAAAGCAGTAGTCTTTACATAACTCTGAGGAAAAACATTGAAGGTATGCTGCAGCCCTTGCTGGGTGAAAACAGTATATTTTGTAATGATACTTGTTAAGATGTGTGTGTGTGTGTGTGTGTGTGTGTGTGTGTGTGTGTGTGTGTGTGAAGCAGGTTCCTCCCTGGTGGCACAACAGGTTAGGACTCAGCTCTGCAAGCTAGTTGCAGCTGTTTCAGTATAAGTTCGATCCCCCACCCCGGAGGTGATCCACATGGCGTAGCAGACCTTTCCTGAGCCATCACCGGCTGCTCCCCTCAGCAGTGTATTTCAGTACATCTGCCTGTTCTGCTCCCCACTTTGTGTCTGGTGAATCCTCCCACAGCCTCTGGCTTATACCCCAGTTCTGTATGCATAAATAAATCTTTAATTTTAAAAAATCCTAAAAGGGAAATTTCCCTTTCCCTCATGCCCATTTACTATAGAAAATGACTGCTGGTCCATTTGAGGAAAAATAAGAAAGGAAGAGTTAAGGGATGAGATTTGGGCTGTGGCATAGGGTTCTTTCTTCATGAGGACCTCTGAAATGGCTTATAATCATCCACTAGATGAAAGGCAACATTGTTCTTCATTGTAGTGACTCAAGTCAGGTCTTTGCCTACTAGAGCTAGTTTTCCTAACTGATGACATCAAACTTACTTAAGGAAGATGCCCATCTATTTAATTCACCGTGACTAATCACCATCACCAAAGATCTATGTGAATTTAAATATTCTGATTGCTACTCTGGCACCAATACCCACTTTAGTAACTGTATTATTCATCTAGTCTTTGGTGGCTAAGCATGGAAAACTAGCCTGTTACACTGTCTTGAAATCAAGGAACCCACTTCAATGGTGAAATAGCCCTGACCTGCAGATGGTAGCCATCAGTGAGTTTAAAGACGCTAGTATTTTCCTCATCAAGGTATTTCTCAACATCTTAGTAAAAAGAGAGCCCTCTGAGACTTTTCCTTGTTCTAGAAGCTTTGATGTTATTTCTTTGAAATCATATCAGGGAGGATTTTGGCATCTCAACCTACTGTAGTAAGTCACCATTAAGTTCAGTTTTCAGTCAATGGACCTGCTGGTGAAGCTACTACATATATCGGAAAACATTGGTAAGTGTTCCTAGGTCAATAAATTCAGCAACCCAGTGTTAAATTCTTTTCTCTTCTTGACTGTCACTTGTAGAAACAAATATTCTAGGTCTTTAATGATACTAATTTGCAAAATCGTGCATTTTGGGGAGTTTTTTGGTTGGTTTTTTTTTCCAATTTTATTTACTTTTGCATGGAAAAGCTGGACTGTAGGCCAGAGATGTGGAGGGTGAGAGGATTCACCAGAGGCAGAGTGGGGAGTAGAACAGGCAGATTTTCTTAAATACACTGCTAAAAGGAGAAGTAGGTAAATGTACTGTGCCATGTGTGGATTAGCTCCTTTACTGGGGATTGAACTCAGGCTGCAACCTATTTGGGGAGATATATAATCTGTCTATCCCAGGTCAGTCAAGGAAATACCTCAGATGATTTTTCTTCAAGGTCTTTAATGTAGGGAAAGGTAGTCTCCTTAGATGTGGGGAAAGGACTGTTTAGTTGGCAAAGAAAGGTCAGGGAAGGAAATTGTGCTCACCAGTTAAAAACAAATAATACAGTGCCCTCCCTAGTGGCTCATTGGGCTAAAGCGCAGCACTGCAAGCTAACTGCAGCAGTTTCAGTGCAAATTCGATCCCCAGGCCCAGAGATGATCCACATGGCGCTGCAGACCTCTCCTGACCCGCCTGCTGCTCCCTTCAGCCATGTACTTTGTCAATCTGCCTGTTCTGCTCCCCACTCTGTCTCTGGTGAAGCCTCTCACTGCCCCTGCACCTCTGGCCTGTACCCCAGTTCTGTATGTATAAATAAATAAATCTTTTTTTAATGTATACAACTTGGTTGTGTCTCAAGGGCATTATCTCAAAGGGTAACCTCCTGTTTAATGCCATTTATATATTACTCTTGAAGAATCAAAATCATAGTGAAAGAAAAAAGATCAGTAATCACCAGAGTTAGAGTTGAGGGGAGCGTATGACTTTTAAGGGGTAACACAAGAGTTCCTTTGTGAGATCCAAGAATTCTGAATTCTGATTGTAGTGACAGTTACATAAATTCCTCCCTCTGAAAGAAAATGTCAGAGACTTGTACGTATACTCAAAAAGAGTGCTTGTAAATTGACAAAATCTGAGTAAGGTCTATACCTGAGTTAATAATAATATACAAATATTAGTTTCCTACTTTTTATAATATAAAGAGAGTTATGTGCGATATTATCATCATGGGAATTCTATTTTTACAAATTTTAAGTCAAATTATTTTAAAATAGAGGTTAGAAAAGGAAGAAAAGGGAAGGAGTGAGGGAGGAAAGGAGTCAAAGAAATTCAATTATCTCAGATTTGTCTAAATTCACCCAAATATCTTCATTCTAAATTTCAGTGTTCTACTTTTTCCCACTCTGTGCCCCAACCTTTCCATGGAAGTTTAGAAAGCATTCTCAGTGATATCATTGTATGGATGGATGCCCCAGCACTGTTTCCTCACTCTTCTGCTTTACACTTTTTGTATATAAAATAACTGATATTCTTGTTTAAGTTGTTTTTAGATCCCTCTTACTTAGCTGTGGGGGTTTATTGTCTGACAGATTCTGCTTATTTGTACAAGACACCAGTGTCCAGCAGACAGCAGCTCAGGAGTCATAGCAATCCTACTGTACTTACATGGACAGTCAGGATTCTCTATTCTGAAATATTTGTGGGGGGCCTGGGCACCTGATAACCCAGACACCTTTGGGAACCTTCACTGTGATGGATCCTTGGCCTTGGTCTTTAGCCTGCAAACCCTGAGACGTTTGGTAATGATAGCACATGTACATTTCCCAAATTTAGAGTGAGCTGTGTAGAGAAGTCCACTGAGCTTGTGACTGCTGCCCTTTGGGATGTTCACCGTGACTATCTTGAGCTCTACAAGAGCCGTGATAGCCTCAGCACATGCACTCATGGCCTTGGCATTGTTGAGCTTCATGTACTACAGGCCCTTCTTACTGCGCTTCTTAGCAAA